TCTGGAATGATAGTAGTAAACGTTGACCGTCAAGTCAAAAGTGTACGAATCGTAAGATATTGGGGATTTCAGGATCAGAGATAAAAGGTTAGGTTCAGTGAGGTTTTTGGTTTTACTGAACTTATATTTAGTTAAAAGTGTTAGATTTTAATCTACATCTAATTATCTATCTATGTTCTTCCTCGCTTGAGTGGAAACATTATGTTCTGATTACGTGATGGAATAACATTTCCACCACCGAGATCATTACCAGCCGAGACCTCACCAAAGCTGGTAGCTATCGAAGATGTGTAGTCTTCTTCTACTCCGCGCTGCGTGCAGTTCGGCCTGGTATGTCAATATTTCAACAGTCTTTGCTGCACTCTCGTGTAACTACTCCGCTGTATATATTTTTCATGGGTCCGAGGCCACGCGCTGTTGTATAATCGATCTTTGATGATGTTTCTAGCCTGGATTTCACATATTTTAGGCGCTGCTCTTTTGCATGGGTAATTTTTTAGTTACTCCTAGTACTGTCGAGGCGTGTCTCCAACACTCATGGGAGGTAGTAGTTCGTGTGTGATAGCTGGGCCAATTTCTTCAATATCATGAAATAGGTGACCAAGAAGATTCCACTTGGCAAGCTTCTTCTAAAGACTCCTTTTCTTTTTAGAAAGTGAAATCCATTCACCTAGCACGTGTCTGTTTCCATTTTTCATGTTCTTTTTGGTTACCACTAAGTCTTAATAAGTGCCGCAGTGGAAGGTCTCGCGCTAATAACCTGTTGTAACTAGCGATTGAGTAGATATGGAATGTTGTGTAAGCTAGGGATAATAGTGGAGAGTAGAAGATGATAATCGGAGACTGAGGATGTGAATACCTTGATTAAATATTATGCTACAAACGTAGATAGGAATGATATATATACATGTTTCACATCCATATTACAGTCTATTATCATCACATAACCAGAATATTAGATTCTGTCCCATTTTGTAATAATTATACTAAGCTCTCAGCGTCGATCGTAATAATAGTCGCGCTGGGGCTATTTAATCCCTACATCATATACTAGCACTAGTACAGTAGATAGGGATATACTTATAGCAACTCTGACAGTCATATCACCATTCCATACTTCCGGCTTACTGGCAGCTGATTTTTAGTACGCTGCATAGTTTTATCGCCGTGCGGCATGAGTCTTACCTTGCAGCATAGCAAGATAGAAGAGTGTGGCCTATGGTAGTTTACGCACTTCGAGATAGTCCTTTTGCGTATAGTAGCCTTATACTCTATGGAGTCGCACTATGAGCATCGCTCTGCTCACGAGCAAATACTTGTCAAGTGATGTCTACAGTAACGGATGCCCTGTGCTACTTTTAGCTTACGCTGAAGTTCGTGAAGGTATACGCTTTCTTCATACAGTGGCTTGCCGAGCTTTTGTCTTTCCGTTGAAAAGTATAAAATCAAGTTAGTTGATGTCCTCGCTATGCTTTTCGCAATAGAGCGGGCCTTGGTCGGTCTAATGACTGCTGGGAGCCGCTTCTTCTATCGTGGTCTCTGATGTGACTGGCACTAGACTTTCTAGAGTGTAGAGCTTTCCCGGGATGTTTGATGCCAGGACCGACATCCTGTTGGAAGCGGCTTTCAATTTCGTCTCCGAGCCATCTAGGACGGCAGCTCCTAATAAGAGCACGTTTCTTACCCTTTTTCCATCAGCCTGTACAGCGAGCCTTGGGTTCAAGACGATGACTTGCCTAGTTGAGGAGTTGGGCAGGCGCAGCTTACTCGCCAGGCTTACATTTATGCAGTTGAGAAACATACGTCTCGTCGAGACGGCTGGTTTTTGCTGCCAATGCATTAAGCTTCAGGCCCTTTTTGTCTAGTCTTGAGGTCAATCATTTTTAATGCTGCAGCATCAGCCGGCTTGATCTTCCAACGGACTAAGTGGGCCCAAGATGCCTCATTATTATTGTGATATTTGGTGTGTGTACCCCGGTTGCGCTGGGAAATTCTCGTTACAGCTGACGATTTGACAGTTGTTAACCTGTTGTTTTCTCTTACAAGAATCTGCACTGAAGTTGCAATGTCCGCGATTATTTTTAGTAGAGTTCTATAGCTCGTGCGGAAAATGTTCCTGTGGATTTTCTATTCGTAGAGCGCGATAGTTTGATACTGTGGAACGGGGCGGATTCATCCCGCAAGACGTCTTTAAATATGCGGTAGAGGGCCCCGCCACTAGTTTTAGCCTCATTTTTCAAAGCTTTTTGACATTTATTGATGTGATAATTTCAATGTACTCGTTGACAATAAGCTCTGCCTCTGCCTTTACAAAGCGCAGGTTGGAATTCCTCACTTCGCGTGCGAGGAGGCTAGCCATCGCGATGTTGGATGATCCAGTCTCTTTTTAGAGTGAGCCTTGTCTGCTCTCCTCTCAGATCGGCTCTACAATTTTTTGATGATTGACATATTGTTACTGTAGTGGCCTGGGGGACTATTCTCAACACCTGTCAGTGGTGTCCCCTACGAACCTCCAGCTCTCACTGTAGAGTCTGCAGAGCCGAGATTGAGTAACAAAGTCCTCACTTCGAAGAGGATTCCCAATCGCTTTCGCGGCCTGTATCGTCTTCATCTCTCAACACATTCCCCTATCACCACTATCATGAAGCTAACCACGATCAGATCAGATGGTAGGGTCGGAGCCCTACTCGTCACCCACCCTTGATCATGGAGGAAAAGCCATCCGATGAGTTTCCGGAGCGTACCCAGCACCCGATACGGAGATGGTGGATTGGATCAAGTCGACCTCGAATGTTACAAAGAAGGGAGATATAGATGAATATGCGCACCTCATGTGGTCCCGGTGTCTAGGCCTCGCCTGGCTGGGGCTGCAGGTTTTTTGAGACTTTTTCCCGCGCACGCAGTTTCCATTGCTACCATTTTTATTTTTTTTGGGTAGAAGGTTCCGTGGAAAAGGTGGCTGAATTCCACGGGTAAATACTGAGCTGAATGGCTATTCATCAAGGGGAATATATCAATGATCTTTCAAGTAACAAAAGAGGATAGGAGCACTGTACAAGGTGTGGCCTGGGTCAGAGAGGAGCCCAATGTGCTAGATAGTCATAGACTCAAGTAGTACAATAAAACACACACACACTGTAGTGGCCTGACAAGGTTCATTTCGACTTTGGGACGCGTCAAAAGTGAGCTAGGGAGGGACCAGGAACCAGTCTTCCTGGAGGACTGGGGCAGCATAGCTGATCTAAAGATTGAAAATTTGTTTTGTAATAAATAAGGGTGTGTGGAAGTTCGATCGAAATCTCATGAAAGAGGATTTTGTGGGGTAGTGGAGCATGAAGAGTGCGGCTGTTATCCGTGAGTCTACGGCGTTCTCCACTACCCAAGACATCACCTAGAAGTCGGGCTGTGAGGCTTCGAAGTAGACAATATCGAATCAGAGCTTCGGGACATTTCAGGGCGACTTCATAGTCGTTCCTGGCCGCGAATGAGAGGTTGTTCAATTAGGTAGAAGCTAGCGACGAAAAATTACGCGTGGACCCATTCATGAGACATTAGCTGCGACCCTAACAACGACGATCCTGATGCGGAGAGGACGACGGCATCACGGCTCGTCTAAGCGTGATCCCGATGGAAGATGGATGAGATGATGGACACAGAAATATTACGAGAAAATTTGGCCGAATGCACGAAGGTTTTAGCGCCTGCTCAGCTCACAGGCGCTGACACCAAAGCCTGCGAATCAGCCCTTGCTGGCGTATTTGTGTGTTCATGGTAATCGATGGTGGAAGCATCTTTTACGCCGATAGAACCTTCCAACGTACATTGGCAAGTCTAGCTATACGCTTCGCCTGCCGCATGGGGGCTGGAGAAGGCACGCGTCAAACGGGCGAGCATTGCAGCTACCAAGCGCGATACTCTATTAGCCATCTTACTTTGGCAAAAAGCAATGATGAGCGGTGCCAGAAGTGAGTCAAGTCTCAGTCGCGCACCTTTCTTTTTGCCGATTCGCAGTCGCCGTAGCGCCAGGGCCGGCGATGAATTAACTTGCCAAGAGATTTCTTAGCAGCTGTCGCGGGTCGAGTGTTAGGCTTGGGAGCAGAGGCGACGTAGCGCGAAATGTTACATCTACACACCATTCCAGGCGTTCCTCGGCTTAGCAGCCCTCACAGCTACATAGATGGTGGCTCGAGGAGCCCTCGATGAGGCAAAGTCGTGCACTGCCGCTATAACACAACTCCTGGTTTCCGTGAGGAGTTTCCGACAAGAGGTTCCAGGCCTAAAGTGCGAGCCCTGGTGACACAAACTACCATAAGTCTGACCTCGCTTCCCGCTTCTCGCTCGAGGCTGAGGCTGAGGCTGAGGACTGACGAGCGAGAGTTCGTCGACATAGCGTCTTTGAAAGAGGGGGTGTGGGGCCGTCGCTACCATTACTCTGAGCGCGGCGGCAGGAAATGCGAGCTACGTCCAACATGTACACGTAGCAATCATCATGTGCCATGGATCGATAGCTGAATGCACGTAGGTCATACAAATAAAAAAGGTATATAGAATAGAGATCATATGTGAGAGCTAGATAACTGCATGCACGGAAATGATCGGAAAAGAGTGATGGAAAAAACAAGCAAGCGGCATCGGCTGTGGCTAGAACCTGAGATTGCTCGGGAGGAGCAGGCGCACCATTTCGCCTCGCCGATCCACCTGCCATCTCCCTCGCCACATCCACGATTGCCGAGGGCCGCGCCTGACGCGCGTGGCACGCCTGCATATGGCTTCGAATCCCTGCGATGGGGGCGTGGCGTGGCGAGGTGGGACCTGGCAGGATAAATCCTACGCCTTGGGAACGCCGCCGTCGAAAACCGTCACCCAAACCTTTCCAACCTCGCGCACCGCCATCCACCGCCCCTACGACCGAATTTTTCTGCGCGCCCGCCTTCAGCCAGCCAGGCGCCGCCAACTTCTCGCCGCCGTCACTCGTCGTATTTCGTGAAGCGCCCCTCGGCATGAACTCAACGCGCGCATCGCTCCCCTCCTTCCTCTCCGCCGCCAAACATGCTCTCACCAGCTACAATGTCTCGCAACTGCACTCCCTCACTTTTGTCATTGGCAATGAATCCGCAGGTGAAATTTCCCGGCCTTGCCACGCCCCCTTAACGCTCGCCCCGCTGATTGCCGGCATCTCGCCCGGCTGCAATAGATCTTGATTCCATGTGTAGTGCCGTCGTCTGGGCCTACATGCTGACCTACTTCACCCGCTCCAAGACCGCCTCCCACCGGCCCATGACCCTCTATATACCCCTCACCAACATCCCGCGCGCAGATTTTGGCCTTCGCCCCGAGCTCAACGTCGCCCTGCACTATGCCCAGCTAACGCCAGGTCAGCTAATCAGCCTGAATGACCTCCCCGTTCCCTTGCCTCCTCCCAAGCAGACGCGCTGGCTCCTCGTCGACCACAATTCCTTTACCGGCAGTCTGGGGGAACTTTATGGGTCGCGCGTTCTCGGGTGTATTGACCATCATGATGACGAAGGCCGCGTCCCGCGGGGTACCCGAGAGGGCGAGGGCCTCGAAGGTGAGCCGAGGATCATTCAGCCAAGTGGAAGCTGTGCCAGTCTAGTGACTGCCTGGGCCTTGGAACGATGGAAGGCAGAACTGACAAACCAGCCTCAAACGAACTGGTCTACTATGAATGAGAATGAGAAACAAGCGTGGCAAAAGGAACGGCAAACTATTGCAGTCTGGGATGCTCAACTAGCCCGTCTAGCACTCGCACCCATCCTCATAGATTCTGCCTGTCTTACATCGTCAAAGACAACGTCGATGGATACAAATGCCACCAATTTTCTCGAGTGGCTCATTAAGTATCATGAGGGTGCGGCATATGATCGGGCAGCCTTTTACAAAGAGCTTTCCATCGCAAAGGAAGATATCAGTTCTCTTTCACTCCTCGACGCATTGCGCAAAGATTACAAACAATGGAATGAAGCAGAAGAAGTTCGGGACCCTAATCAGCCGTCTTGTAATCTTGGTATTGTGGCTGTAGTACAACCGCTATCTAACCTCATCTCTAAAGCCGGCAACACAACTGCCTTTCTCTCTGTTCTCCATTCATTTTCTCAGGAGAGACACCTCTCGATCCTGGCCATCATGACAACCTCGCATCTAGAACAGCAGTTACACCGCGAGCTGTTGGTCTGGGGAATGGACGCGAGAGGAGCGTCAGCAGTTCAATGGTTTGAAACCCAGACAGCACTTATGCTAGGACTTGAAACTTGGGAAGAAAACAGTGGTCGGGATATAATTGCATCAACTAGTATGAATGAGGGGTTACCGGGAGAAGATAGTTTGCGTCGTGTTTGGAACCAGCGTATGGTAGATAACAGCCGGAAGCAAGTAGCGCCCTTATTGCGGGCTGCTATTCGTATGAACAAAGGCTCTCCAAATATTTGAAGGGTGAATGACAAAGCATGACTACTACTCATGGTCAGGTTTAGTGCAAGTTTTTTACGACAGTTATGAATGATTGATATTTCTGGTGCTATTGACGGAACTGGCAATAGCACAATACATCAGCTGACAAACGTGGAGTGATTTTTGGGATGTAGGTGAGGATTAAATACCCTATCCTTTATATGTTGGTCCATTATCTGTTGTTCAGCCAATTCGTAACCAAACCAATCCCCGAGGAGTGGTTACGGTCACAAGCCTCGTCCCTTTAGGCTTGTTACTGTGGTCCACGACGTCTTTGGCGTCAGCGCTACCTTCGTGATCACCCAACTACCCGCCGACCGCATTGGATTGCTGCAATCTTTCAGCTTAAAAGCCAAAGGATGATCTGCGTTTATATGTTTCTTTGAACAAGAGGTGGGGGTCCAATGTTGTTTTTTGATGCGCATTAATAGTCTTCAGGTTATCTCGGTTACCAGAGGAGCGCCCCCTGATGATGTTGTGCCGACCCAGAGGATTCCTTCTTCCATTGAGCTCATAGCTGCAGCGTCCCCACTTCGATCGACATCCCACCAGCACCTTGGTAAACGGCGAGATTGCCCACACCTTAACCCCGGCACCCTCACCTGATTCCGACGCTGAGCGATTTCGTCGTCCCGTCGTCGGTATGCTGCCCTAGCCTCGAGAACCATTTCGTCGCGTGTCTTTCCTGGTCCGGCGGAAAAAGTCGTCATGTCTCCTACTCCATGCCAGCCGGTCCAAAATTTTAAGCTGCCCCAAAATGTTCCATCGTTTCCCGGCACGTGCTGCCAGGGTTTATCTCGAGTGGAAAATAGAAGACAGTCTACGAGCGCTTGAATACAAATACATGCGGTAGTTACGCAGGTTAGAATGAACGGTGGATGAAGCGCATATCTCTCACTATACTGCATTGTGTGGGAGATGAACGGTATTATCCACATACCAATATAAACTAGTGGATAGATGAATAGAACGCGTAATTGTCTACGTATTTTTTCCCTTGTAACCATCATTTCGGCCTTCATTGTAGTAGCTTGTTCATGGGAGTCTCTATACTGAGCATAAGTCATTGGAGCCGTAAGACTCTCAGCTTCGGAATTTCGTCGTGGTTTGTAGGTAAATTCTATGCTGGAATTATTGCGTCTGCTAGAAGCCAAAGTATCTCGATAGGCGCCAGAATACCACCATGTGTCCTCCTGTAAGTAAGAAGACTCATCTACTTCCAACCAAGAGTGCGGAGAGAAGTGAGCTGGAGGCATCAATCGCATGGAAGTCTTGCGAAAGCTTTCTTCGGCATAGAGAACTTTGTCGGAATTCGAGATGGAAGTGGATGTGGTGGATACATGAGAGAGCTCGTGGATGGGTATTAGGCTAGTGACTGCGACAACCTGGGCCATGCCAGCATCAGATTGCTTAGAGGCGTAGTGATGAGATATTAAACCGACCTTTTCCGTCCTACGCCATGGTTCCGTGCCAAGGTCAGGATTCTGGCCAAGACTGATCGAAGGCTGGGTAGAAGTGGGCATGTGCAGATGGGTGTGGGACGTGGTTTGATTCGGCGCCTCTCTCTCATCGCGAGTAAATCCATGAAATTTTTGACGAACGTAATAGTAAATAGAGCCGTAAGTACCGAGAATGACTACGATTATTATATATCTCGGAATCCAATCTAGGGCTAGGCGATACCAGGTAGGATGAAGTGGCAAATAGCAATAAGCACCTTCGCCCACAAACGCCCGCTGCCCTCGTACGAAGACAAGTGATGCCATTATTAGGGGAACAAGACACCACAGGGCGTAGGCTGTGTGTCTGTAGGGATAGAGACCGCCTTCTTTGAATTGAGGCCTTCGTTGGAAGATGAAGAGGGCACTGTGGGCAGCAATGATTAGGACGGCAATATCTGGACAGAGTTAGCTGGGCATGCGTGATTGAAATGGCAAAAGACTGACCTGCCTGTTCAATGCTGACGGTAAGGAAGAAGCCGCTGACCTGGCAGAGAGCGGATTCGTCCCGGATGGGTCCATTGACAAAGACAACCAAGGGATATACCATGAACCAAAGAGCTTTGCACATATCGCTTTGGATGAGCAACATGATTAGACTAGTTTGCAGAATTAGCGGTAGTAGAGCGAGCAGTGAAGGAAGGCGCACTCGTGTCGGAAGCTTCTTCGCATCTTCACGAACCAGCAAAAGACCAGAGTCGATGAAGCCACACTGATGGATGCAAATATCAAGGCAACGATCATCAATATGTGCTTCTTATCAGCCGTCAGCTGAGGATAAGTGACCTCTTTCCAGTCCAGCTGCTCAGAGTCGACCTGGCGCACAATGCCCACGAGTGCCAAATCGGTGGATAGTAATGGCATAGTGTGAAGAAGCACCATTCGTCCGCACGCAGGAGTTGGTAGGACAGAGCGATTAGGAGCCGTCACATTGTTGGTAGCTAAGAATTACAGAGGTTCAAGCGTGCCGAGAACTTGTCGCAGACGGGAAGCGGGAGGATGGTGGTGGGGTATGATGATGATGATGATGACTGAAAGGCATGCAGAGGGGAGCGCGAGGTGTGCAGGTAAGGGTACGTGAGGATGGATGGCACGTGTTCGGTTTCGAGAGTGGTGAAACTGTCGAAGATGGAGAGAACGAGAGAGCGAAGCTGGGCTTGGTCGTTAGAGAGTGGTGGAGTGGAACAAACGGCGGACGAGAATGAGCGAATGAACAGGTAGGAAGCGTTGCTGGACGAGGCACATACGCAATGTTGACTTTGAAATGGGCCGGGCAACTGAGGGTAAGTCGGTGGAGGTGGATGTTAAGTATGGGGCCATGCGAGCGACGATGGCTCGCGCATATTTGGCGGAAAGTTAGTGGAAACATGTCGACAGTCGGGCGAGCAGGGGGCCGCAAGCTGGCAAGAGCTGTAGGCCCTTTGTCGATCATGTCCTGAGCACACTCTGCTAGCTCGGGGCGGGGGATCGACGGGAATTCTTTAGATGTTATGGGGCTGCAGCTTTTGAGGTGTCGGGGCCACAAGTTCCCTCGGCTGTGGCCATGCATCTGTGCGCGTCGGCGAGAGATATCCATCTCCGACCACGCGCCCGTCAAGGGAGGATTTGATGGTGGTGTCTAAGGCCGCCGTAAACGCGAACTGACTGGGCAGGCAAAGGCCGCTGCTGAGGAGGTCACACGGAGTGCAGTCACGGAAGTGCTCTCTTTCGTTCCTTTTCGGAATAAGCCAAGGCTTGAGAAAAGATGATGTCCATCTTTCCGACTTTTCGGAGGAGTCTGCCCCCACATTTGACATCAAGTGAGGGCTGTCATGGAGCAGGCACCCAGTCTCGGCGACACATCCAGTTCTCCCCGATCTTCCGTCCTTGATGCTTCCTTCCCGTCGCTGATCACTGGATCCGTTCCACCGAGCCAATCCACTTTTCACCGCTACCCTGTCCAAATCAAGCTTCAGATCTCATGCCACTCCTCCCGGCGTCGAGTAGATTTCACCATGCCGCCTACACGCTGGCCTCGCCATAACACTCTCCGCCCTAGCTTCAATGCAAGCACGTCCGCAACTATCAAGTGATAAGCGAGCGCCATGCATTCGCTACGGAATCTACTAGCGGCTATTTGCCGCCTTGCGCTTGCTACGACCCGCCAGAGCCGAGATGACTAGCTACGTCAGCTCGCAGAGTGTAGGGGGGGGGGGGCGTGTTCTCATGAGAGTTAAGGGCCTTGATGCGTTGCGCGTCCTAGGACAAAGGGCAGGCTTCGGGTAACTGGCACGCCAAATGCTACTGTTGGAAGATGGGGAGAGGAGCCTGAAAATTATCGATCGAGCTGAGCATGGCCGCACGCTATTGGCTAAACTGCGTAGGCCCTTATTAACTCTCATGCGCCGCTGAGGGAGAGGATATCGAGATGCTGAGATGAGGATGGCCGAGCTGGTCGGCTCATGAAACGCAGGGTCGATGAAATTGCCAGGGGCTGGAAAGGGGAGATGCGACCTACAGCTGACGCGTGAGGGTGTAATCAAGGAGAAATTGAGAAGCGTTGGTCGCTTAATAGAATAGCATTCTTCAGCACCAATTTAGTAACATGGCGAAGATGCCGGGCCACGCGACGCCTAGTATCACGATACACACTTCTCGGCTGCTCACGTGTGGTGACGGGCTGGGCCATGGAGGGAACAGGATTCTGGAAGGAAATTATCGCCTCATCTATTTGTGCAGCGGTGCCCCGAGCAGAGTATCGAGCTTCAGGCTACGTGTTGCACTCATCATCATGTATTGACGCTGGTGGTAGGAGATGCTGTGGAGTATAATGTCGGTCGATGATTCGGCTTCTCCGCCCCTTCTTGGGGGACTATTCTCAAGACCAGTCAGTGGTGGCCCCTACGATCGTCCAGCTCTCACTGTAGAGTCTGCAGAGCCGAGATTGGGTAACGACGTCCTCACTTCGACGAGGATTCCCAATCGCTTTCGCCGTCTGTATCGCCCTCATCTCTCAACACATCCCTCTCTCCCCCCGCGCGCGCACTCTCTAGTCGACGGCACACGGGCTCCGTAAATCTTGTTACGCTTCGAGCTACTCTGGGTAGATATGACTGGCCCTCCGTCGGGTATCTACTCCTACAAATGTGTCACTGTTCTCCCGACTCTACATAGACAGGCAGTGTACTTCTCATGACCCACTCAAAAGTATGACCCACAAGATTTCTGACCATAATTCGCGTGGTCCGCCCTAAATTCCTAGCAGTGCGAACAAGCCCAAGATTAGGCTTGACAATCAAGCGCCAGTCGGAAGGAAACATGTTGGGGAATGAATAATTTGAGCGGTCGGAGGGGAACGTTTCGCTTCCGCATGAGCCGTCGTCGGGACTCAGACGCTCTTCGGCCCGGTCAGGGGGTCTAGACCTAAAGTGGCTAGATCTCATCTTTGCTAGTCGCCTTAGTGCCAGGTCATCGGTGAAAGAGACCCGTCCGTGGCGAGGTCCGAGTTCCCGAGGCCGGGGAAATGTACAGGCCCAGCTCCCGTCACTGTACAAAAGGGGGCCGTCCCATTACTCGCACCCATGTCGTCTCATCAACGGCCCATCCTTCAGGGGCTCGTGGCCATGTCAATGTGTCATAGAGTCATGTCTAGACCACAGCCTGCTCGTCGCTTTTTCTCTCGTCCTAGCTGGCTGATCCTCGCCTCAATCCACACCCACACACCCACATTGCGAGCCCGTTCTCTTGAGCACATCTGAACAACACGTGATCCGGTCTAGAATATGCATGGATCGCTCTATCTCGGACCTGGGCGCCAGTCCAGCCAGAGGCAACTGCGTGCACGGGGACATGAAAAATGTATGAAGCTTGCAGTGTTGCCGCCCACCGACGAGATGAAGCTAGATGAGGACGTTCCCGTCACTCAACATTACAGTTTCAAATGTCAATTTACGTGACTCCTGCCGGGGCATGAGCAGCAGTTACTCTTCCAACATCACCGTTTACTGCGGCACATTTGTCCTCCCTGCGTCGCCATGGTGGAGACCAAGATAGCCAGGTCAAAATCGCGTAGGAACGAGCTTTTTTGAATCATTTGATATCTAGTGTCTGGCTGGCTGGCTGGCTAGCTTGTGATGCTTGCTTTGGGCACATTTTCATTGAATTTATTGACTTCAGGTACTCTCATACTCTAGACTCTATTCGCGAATATCTTCATGATGTGCGAAAATTCATAGACGACAGACGACGACCATCAACGAGTGTCCAGCAAGTTTCAAAACCTCTGTTCATCCAAGCGCTACTTGAAAGGAATCATACTTGGATTGTGGGCCTTAGTGTGCTCGTTATCGTATTGCAAACCTTGAATCAGCAACGTGCCCGTGAATACTAGCGAAGGTTTCTCTTGTCTGTTCCGTTAGTATGCACCAGTTATCCAGCTGTGATTCATGATTAGTATCACATATAAGAGTAGAGTTACTCTCTCAAGTTTTGACGTGCTTCTGGATCTGATTCATAAATAGCCCCCACGAAGTATGCTTGCCCGTACAGTACAGTCAGTCGCCCCTGATTACATAAGCACACATTCGTCATCTCGTGCAAACGCTGTAGCCTGGCCGGGCCGGGATTGAATGGACCATTTCCGGCTCTGAGTAAGAATGGTTTTCTTGGTATTTAGTCTATCAGAGAAATCAGCCCGAGCTAAATACCACTAGTCCATGCGACCATTTCTCCATGGCGATGGAGCAGGTGGAGGTAAGTCCTCTGGCGACGGGCTTGAGTCTTTCATTGTAATGGGCATGACGCCGGTGCATCACACTCGAGACGGAATCACCTAACTGGTAGAGGGGGCTCAAGAACCCTTGGTTCGTATGAGCCGCGGGCCTGCTGCTCGAATTTGCCAGACCCCGCATGCAGTTGATATGCTAACGTGCCCGCCACAACTGGCAAGCACGGAGTAAGAGAAGTTGTCCCAGTAATGCTTCAACTGAATCCACCGCGCGTCTCGTTTGCACACTGGACCATCGCTCACGCCTAGTAAGGGTCCAAGCTGACCGGAGCTCAAGTGTCATAGGCCTGTCACGTGAGATGGGAGGGCGCGCATGGTGGCGGGCGTTGGGGTCCAAGCTCCCCTCGACCAATTGACACGGCTGAAACTGGAATTTCTGGTCAGCCCTAGGTCAGAATCCACGCACTCTATCTCACACTGCTCTAATGGGTGCTGTAATACAGTTTACTCGCGTCACCGAAAGAGCTATAGAATAAATCCAAGATAGCCATACCATAACAAGAATATAATAGAATTCCCATCTCTATCTGCTCTCTCATGTAAAAATGCCACGGAAATATTACGTGGCTTGGCCAACCGATCCAGTGGGCTCACACGTATTCTACTCATTATCATCAGGGTGCACATGACTTTTCGTGTTTGTGTGTTTATTGTGCTACTTGAGTCTATGACTATCTAGCACATTGGCCTCCTCTCTGACCCAGGCCACACCTTGTACAGTGCTCCTATCCTCTTTTGTTACTTGAAAGATCATTGATATATTGCCCGTGATGAGTAGCCATTCAGCTCAGTATTTACGCGTGGAATTCAATCACTTTTTCCACGGAATCTTCTACCCCCCTCCAAAAAAAATGGAAGCTGCGTGCGCGGGAAAAAGTCTCAAAGAACCTGCAGGCCCAGCCAGGCGAGGCCTAGACACCGGGACCACATGAGGTGCGCATATTCATCTACATCTCCCTTCTTTATAACATTAGAGGCCGACCTGATCCAATCCGCCATCGCCGTATCGGATCCTGGCTAAGCCCCGAAAACTCATCGGATGGCTTTTCCCCCATCATCAAGGGTTAGTGATGAGTAGGGCTCCGACCCTACCGTCTGATCTGATCGTGGTTAGCTT